ATACATTGCCTTACGAATTTTGCTAACATTACCAGTATCAGTGGCAACTGGTTAAAGAAGTATTTCGAAATTGAAACTTATCAAAACATACTTGCGCTCAATAATGAAAAACGAACGACTTTGTTGTCTAGCCATGATCTCAATTGAACACGAAATTGGTCAAGAATTAACCGTGAAAGAGTTAGTCGACGGTTTTGCAAAGTTAAAAGCAAGAAAACATTTCTGAATTATGATTTATTTTTGTATGAATTATACATTAATTATAAATATGAACTACCATTTATTTTTATAAATGTACATAACAAACTTTTGTGAAAAAAAATTATCAAGTGTAACAATGTAAAATGTAATATAGCCCAGTTTATAATTAATTTTGTTCATTTTGTATAAATAATACTATGTACTAATTATATGGAAAAAATGATTGAAAGGGGCGACATTTTTTTAACTCCACAGGGTGACAAAATACTTAGCGCCGGCCCTGAAGTAATTAGTAACAGAACAAACTTTTTTCATTGTGGTAAAACTGATTTTTGTAGTAATCTCCAGAAGACAATTTTTATTCTATCAAAATTTCGATACCTACTAAAGATTCTCTGTTTTTAAAAATACAAAGATCAATAATGATTTTTCAAAAATCTTTAATTTCATGTGTTTTTAATATTCAAAAATATAGATTACTTATTGATCTCGTGCACTTCGTTGCCCATTAAAAATGACACAACTCTATAGTATTTATGAATAATATATTATTATTATTATTACTGTTATCAGTGGTATTTTGGAGGGTATACGCGGGTATACGACGTATACCCGTGAACCATCATGATGATTTGGCGTATACTCTATAAAAGTAACCCCAATACGCACTTATACGCCCGTATACCTACTTCATAAATAGAAAAAAAATCCATAGGACATAGTCAGCTCTGCATGCACTATAGCAGTAATCAGAAATTGTTTGGGAACCCTCGAAAGTATTCATAATTTCTTCATCTATCCGAAACGCCAAAATGCTCTTCAAGATGCGATCAATGAAGATGAGACGCTACGTGAAAGTCGGTTGAAGAAATTGAAAAAATATTGCAAAACCAAATGGGTAGAGCAACACGAGTCTGTCGCAACTTATCTGCACTTAAAACCAGCAGTAATTCGCGCTCTTGATGTGATTTCGACCACCTGGAAGGATCCAACGACTTCGTCTGGAGCTTTCCAACTTCTTTCAGCTATAAAAACTGCAAATTTCCAGGTAAAATCCAAGACTCACACTATCACATTACCAGCTCTCTATTATGAGATGTTTGTATATTCTTCATTCTTTGAATTTAATTTCCAGATCTCCATGCATATTTTGAGCTCAGTACATTCTTTGACTTTGTCTCTCAGTCGAGTACTTCAGTCCAAAAAACCAGGATCTTGGCGAGGCTATCGAATTAGCTGATGCTGCGAAACAAGTCCTGTTTGAAAGAAGAGAAAACGTTGAAAAGCACTTCAGAGGAATTTTCAAAACCGTGAGCGAAATCAGCGCAAAATACGACATCGAACTGTGGAAACCAAGGCTCGTGTCAAAACAGACTCAACGCTCCAACGTACAAACTGATTCAGATTATTTTCGCATAACGATTTACATCCCATACATTGATTTATTTCTGACCCATTTACAAGATCGATTTTTGAATTACCGCAAAATTTTATCAAACTTTGCTTGCCTCTTCCCTAACAAAATGAAGAATTTCAATGAATAATCCTGCGCTCCATTGTTTGAACCATACTCTTCAATTTTGCGGGATGATTCCCGTGACATCTGGGTAGACAAAGTCAAACTTTGGCGTCAACGCATCGCCGGAAAGAACGTTAAAAATTCGCTTGAAGCACTCGATGTGTGCAATGGAGATGCGTTTCCAAATGTTCATCAAATGCTTCGCATTTTGGCAGTTCTGCCTGTAGCGACAGCGACGAATGAACGCTCCTTTTCAACATTGTGTCGCCTCAAGACTTACCTCAGGTCAACAATGTCTGAAGATCGGCTGAACGGATTAGCCTCGCTCAATATACATCGCGATGTCGAGGTCGATCCGCAAAGAGTTTTGGAGAAGTTTTTTTCTACACCTCGCAGAGTTAATTTATTATATAATAACTGAATATCAAGTTAAGACACAATAAAATGTCTTCATTTATAAGAAAAGTTTCTTATTATTTTTTATTAACTTCATAACCTAACATGATACACATATGTCAAACCCCCCCACCCATAAACGAATTCAGCGCACGAGCCTGTATGCTTTTATTTTACAATAATTGTAAATAAAAAAAATAAATATAATAATATTTTATTATATTTTTTGCCTATAAAATCGGGCAATTATTGAATTTTCCATAGAAGCTTTAAATACTTCGATAAATCAAGAAATAATATGGGATAAAATTAATACACATTTTTTTTTTTATTTTAAAGTTTATACTTGTGAACATGAGATCCAGAAAAGACTTGAATACTCGCGAGCATCGCTCGCGTCTTTTTAAGTGATAAAATCTGATAAGTCTTGATCCTAATGAATACACAATAGTCATTGTCATAAATCCTTAAATACGCGTATACCCTTTAGTTTTTTTGCCAAAACACCACTGATTGTTATAGTTTTAAAACAAATCGGGAAATAAATGCCGCACCGTGTGGACGCGTATTGACGCGCGGCACGGGGCCGACAGAAAACGCACGGCAAAAGCTGCTCCGTCTGAACGCGTCTTAAGAAACAAGTATTCATAGAGGAAAATTGTAGATCAGTTTCAACAATGCAACAAAAAGTTGTCAATTTCTTGTTAACTTATAGAAATACTCCTTGTATCATTAATTAGTTGTCCGGCAGATATACCGGCAAATGGACTAGGACTAGAACTATATTAAAGACCATTTGGAAATAAGATTTTACATTAGACGTATTTAAAACTAAAATCACTAAAAAACTGATAAGGAAGCTCATTATCAATATATACATCACTAAGAATGATAATATTTGGGATATGCAGTATCTTAAGTACTTTTATTCTATCCAGATATGTTTTTGGCAGTATTTTTATATATTATAAAAACGTGAGGCTATTTTTTGGACACCTATGTTCTACAAGTTCTACAAGCCCGATTTTCATGATATTTTTTTAAATGAAAGTACTCGGAGTGCAGATGAACCATCTAATGAGAAAAGTACAAAAATTAGTTGGTAAAAAAATTGTTTTAGTTTAATTCCCATAGTAGGTAATAGAAATTGTTTATTTTGTATGTTATTATAACAATATATACATTATTTATATTTATTTAATAAATTACTTATTATTTATATGTTTATTCAAAAATATTTTTTTTTTTTTCTGTAAATCGACATCAACAGGTAATTCAGCTAGTATATCTTATTACTAAGTGGGTCGTTACCAGGTGACTTTTTATTCTAAATTTTGTGTATATAATATTTTATCTGACTGGGCCAGAGATACCGAAGTCTTAAAAATTTAGTTTGAAAAGTCCACAATATCCACATATTGAAGTTAGGCTTTAATTTTGTAATGAATCTTTCATACAATTTGATAGTCAAACTTTGGTCCAATTTAAAGAAACCTCATCCTAAATTTTTACAACTTGTAGGGCCAAGGTACTACTAGGAAATGTGTGTTTCACGAGGAGAGACATTGGTAGTTGAAATTTTGGTTAATTCTAGTTTTAATTAATCATTTTTTAACTTATCAGTCTTGATGAAATAGGTTTATGAAAAATAGTATTAACTAGTTAAAACTAGTCTTAACAAATTTCGTGGTTTTAACATATATCATTTTTATTAAATTTATTACTAAACAATTTATAAGGATAACATAACCCTAAAAAAAAAAAACAAATAAACCAAATTTAAACCACAAAGACAAAAATTGAATTTATTTATTATCTATCTGATAATAATAGTTAATAACATATTTTTAAACTATATTCATATAATTTATACTTTTAGTTTAATAATAATTTTAAATCTAAAAAATCACATAACACTTCAGATGAGAAAATTATTTAACAAAAATTAGATTGATTTTCTGTTCAATCTGATGAGCAGTTTTAAACCCTCATTTATTAAAACATTAAAATTAAAATATCTATGTTTAACATTACATACTAAAACAATACATTTTAAAGTAGTTTTAATTATTGCAATAATCCCATAAAAATAAAAACTACACAAATAATTAAGTATAAAACATTGACACACAATATCACTGTAATAAGTAATATTAATTAGTATCTCAGTGAAAATGTTTTATGGTCATGATCAATTTATTTTTGAAATCTGAATAATGAATTTCATCATAATTAGTTATAATGAGAATGAAAATAATTATATTCTTTATTATGCATAACTTAAAATTTTATTTTATATCTATACTTTTATAATAAAAATACTGTATTAGGTTTTCATAATTCTTTCAGTGGTAATTCAGTCTAGTCACAAATGAAATATTTTTAAAAAAAAATAAATTTGATAAAAGTTATAGATCTTAGAAAAAAATTATTATTTTTTATGAAAACTCACAAATGGTTTTATGGTTTTATTATACTATTTAAAATGTATCTGTATTTTTAAATATATTTTTCATTCTTAATCAAATGTAACAGACTAACTAATTAACATTTAATTTTAATAATTAATTAATTTTAATACTATTTAATTAAATTTCAGACTTTTTAACTCAATTTTTTCAATACTATTGCACCCTGTTCTTAAAAGGTTTAAGACTGCTCCAGATTTTATATAACCTTAAACATAGACAGTGTTTTATTCATTGTTAATAATTAATAATAATTATAAGAATAATATTTGAATTTTAATAAAACAATACTTAATAGGTATATTTTTAAATTCACAATTAAATTTTAAAACCCTATAAATAAATAAATAAATATATATATATATATATATATATACATACATAATAATTAATATAAATAAAAGACAAAATAATGATTGAGAAAACATCACACTAAGATTTATTAATAATTGAAAAAGAGGAACGTATTTAAGAGAAAAATATTGCATAAAGCAGAGAGCTTATGTTAACCACTTTCCACAGCTTCAGATGGGTTCACAATTTGGTAGGCAATTAAATATTCTGGGTAAGCCTAGATAAATAAGAAATTGTAAAACATTGTTACACAAAAAAAAAGTAATAATACTTTACCTGTTCACCTCTATACACAACATATTCGGAGAAATTCAACCCACCAACACTTGGTGTTCCCATTACTGAATGATGTCCAGGTGGTGCATGAGCTATTTTGATAGCATTATATTGAATAAATGACTTTCCAAGAGTAACTCGACACATGAGCAAATGTCTGTAGAAAAGATAAAATTGGTGAACATTTTTAAACATATAAGTTAAGGGTATTGAAAACAATAATTTTATATTTTTGTCCATCACACATCATCAAGGGAATTAAGAAGTTTTTTATTTCTAAAGTGCCATTTGACAAGTTTTAAAAATTTTAGATGTCTATTTTTAAATTTTAATTAATGTTAGCAGTGTTTATATGAATAAAACTTAAAAGAAAAATTATTTAAAGTAATTCTATAAATAATCAGTATTCAAAATCTTTAAAATATCAATAGATCAATAGGTACAATTGAAATAAAAAAAAAACTGAATTCTTATGTTACACATACGATAAACAGAGATAGAAAATTATTGCTTCCGATCCCTTTGAGTTTTACTGACCTTAAACATTGATAACAAGATCGATCTTTATGTGCTGGACAACCTGTTCCTCCACCAATTCCATAAACATATTGATTGCTTTTAGATGAGTTTTCAGCAAAATAAATACCTAAAATAATTCATAATTTATATATATATATTAGTATTTTATCATTTGTATTTACCAGCTCCAAACATGCCACCAATGTATGCATGCCTTTCATCAAATCCTTTCTGGACAATTGCATTAATAAAAGGTGATCCATGAAAAAGCATTCTTTCATTGGCTTGATTACCATTTTCTAAAGACACTTCTCTTTTACGATGTATGTAACGATCCCATAGTTTACGATTTTGAATCTTTTGTATCTGAAACATTAAAATGTTAATCAATTATTTTATTTTAAATATTCATAAAATATTACAAATTTAATAAGCAATATACTAACTCTAATAATATTGTATCTATTAAATATCCCCCCAGATTGTCCATTATCACGATGTTCTCTTATGGTACTTTGTAATTCTTGTTCAACAGTAATAAATTCTTTATCTTCAGGTAATAAATCGATTAAAAGTGTACATGGCATTCCACCTGATAAGCCTGAACAAACACCACCTATACAAACAATAAATTAATTTTTGCTCTTGAAATAATTTAAAACATCCCTTATAATTTTATCAAAGACATTTTAAAGTAATGTAAAGTAAAATGTAATAGTTGCATTGTTAAATGTAAATCTAAATTAATTATTTAACAAAATTACCATGTTTGGACACTAATTTTTCCATCCCTTTAATGAGCTTATGCCGATAACCATATGCTGTGATTCCAATTTGCTTTAAGTCTTCATGTTCCATCTCAGCTAATATATCCAAGGTTATTTGTTCTCTTTCAAATACTTCATTAAGATGTTCCAAACCAAGACTAAACGTATAGTTAAAATATACTATAAGTATATACAAAAATATAAATAATTAAAACAATACCTAGAGAGAAATCCTTGAATGGTTGATAAAGTTATACAATTAGGATGAGGATGAGCACTTTCATATCCATTCACTGATCCATCTGCTTGAGAACCTAACAAGAATGATCGACCGGAACCACCAGGACTGGGTAATGCAACTGAAGCTCCAGAAGGCATTACAACCGTAGCTGTTTCCTCTAGAGATAATGGAGGTGGTGTAGCAATATATACTGATGAATTATTGGCTGCTGCATTGGCACCAGGATGTGAAGCCATTGCATCTGTTAATAACGATCTTACATCTTCAGCTGTAGTTAATTCAAGAGGAGTTTGTCCTTCTTGATTTCTCAAAAAAGGATCAGCACCATGAGCCAACTAAAACCATATAATGTATTTTATTGATGAGTATTGTAATTATATGTATAAATAACAATTATAATATAGAAAAAAATAATTTATGTAAAAAATAAACATGATAAAATCCTACAAGAAGTGCGCTTAGTTGTGTTCGTCCTTTTTGAGCTGCTTCGTGTAATGGGGTAAAGCCCCAATTATCAGTAGCATTTACAGTGGTATTATGTTTGATTAAAAGTGCAGCAAGATCTAAATGCCCATATGATGATGCATTATGTAAAGGTATTAAACCTCCTTTATCTTGAGCATTAACATCAGCTCCTTGTTCTAAGAGAAATTCAGCTACTTCCAAATTATTATAACCAGCTAAAATATTATAAAACAATATTTAATTATATCAGAGCTTAACATTAAAACAAGAAAATAAATACATATATAGTCAATAGTCTTACCAGCTAAATGCAAAGGGGTAGAATTTCTTCCTTGAGTATCTCGACAATTTATATTTTCTGAAGTGACAAGTCTTTGAACTCTAGCTAGAATACCTTTTTTAGCAGCATCCAAAAGTGCTGCATTACCTCTTAACAAATCAGCTACTTCATTATCAGAATCTCTAACTAGTCCTAAAGGTGTATGCCCATCACGATTTTTTTTTGTATCGTCAGCACCATGCTAATATAACAAATATAATAATAAATAAATAACACTTTCTATAGTTTATTTGTTTGATAAAAAAATACCTGTAATAACAATCGCACAATTTCATATTTCCCTTTTGCTGCAGCTTCATGAAGTGGAGTGAATTTCCATAAGTCAGACACATTAACATTAGCACCATGTTTAATTAACATATCGGTAACTTCAAAATGTCCATATGAACAGGCATTGTGCAGAGGTACAAGGCCTCTAAAAATTAATATTATACTTTTACTTTTTTACTAATTAATTATTAATGATATCAAAAATTAGTAGTAATGAAAATAACACATACCCTTTATCTTTTGCATGAACATCAGCACCATGAGAGAGTAGGTACTGACTAACTGCTACACGATTATAACCAGCAGCGAAGTGAAGTGGTGTGGAATGTCTGTGAAAAAAGTAAATATACATATATCAAATAGTATTTTTAATTGATTTTAATGTTATTAAATCATTACCGCCCATCTAAATCTCTACAGTTAACAATATTAGGATATGAAGTTAATAGTTTCTGTACTTTCTCTAAATCACCAGATTTAGAAGCTTCTAAAAGTTCAGACTCTAAATCTAAAACCACAGGAGGTTCTGAAATATGTAATATATAATTAATAAATATATATACTTATAAAGTAATTTGTTGTAGACAAATTACCTTGTAATATCTTTTTTATGTTATCCGTAGCCATGTCAATGGCTTTAAGTCCTTGTACTGATGTAATGCTTGTATCAATATTATATGATAAAAGTATTTTGCAACCTTGTAAACTATCATTTCTTGCACAACGATGTAAAGCTAAAATATGAAACATTAAAATTAATAAACAAAACTCGCGTAATATAAAAATGTATTTATTTTCACCTGTTTGTCCAAGTCCATCAGTAGCATTAACTCGCGCACCAAGTCTAATAAATGTTTCCATAACATCAAAATGACCATAATCTGCAGCTAAGTGTAATGGAGTCAAGAGCTCTTTATTGGATTCATTTATTTGTGCTCCTTTGCGAGCTAAAAGTTCAATAACTTGTTTACGTTTTGAACCTAATGAAGTAGCCACAACATGCTAAAATAAGAAGGACATTTATACATTATAAATACAGTAATATATATAGTATACATGTATTAATAACTTACAAAAACTGTGTCTCCAGTTAAAGGGTGTTTAAATTTAGCGATTTCCGAATTTAAAAGTTTTTTTACTTTTGAAACATCAGCAATACGACAGGATTCCAATAAACAATGACCTTTAAATTCATCTAAAAAAATATGAATATTTAAGAATAAAATTCAGTTTTAAAAAATTAACTATTTCTCACAAGATAATCTTTCTTGTAGTTCACGTGTAGATGCTAAGTCTATAGCTGACTTAGAATGACAATTGATTAAAGTTGGATCAGCACCTTTGCTTAATAACAACGAACAAACTTCTATACGGGATTTAGATGCAGCTTCATGCAAAGGAGTAAACTGCCATAAATCCATAGCATTTACACAAGCACCATGTTTTATAAGCATTTCAGTCACTTCTATATGTCCATATGAACAAGCATTGTGTAATGGAACAAGACCACTATAATTTAATATATTTAACTATATAATATTTGCTAAAATATTATATTTAATAATCAAATATAATAATTTAAGATATTTGCTTACCCTTTATCTTTTGCATGTACATCTGCACCATGTCTAAGGAGCAATTGAACACAACGAATACGATTGAAACCAGCTGCTAAATGTAATGGAGTTGATTTACGTCCATCACTTGCATGACAATTAACATTCAAAGGGGTTAAAAGAGATGCTAATTTTGCATCATCACCAGATCGACTAGATTCTAAAATCTACAAACATTTTAGGATAAAATAATGGATTGATTATATTTTAAAATACACATACTTCATCTTTACGCCAATCTCCCACTAACACTTCATGAATACCAGGAACTCCACTAACATTAGCTAAATCAACTGGTGTTTTATTTTCTGAATTTCGAATAGTTGGGTCAGCTCCATGTTGTAACAATGCTATAAAATATATAATAAAACATAAATAATAAATTTAAATTAAAAAAAATAATAACTATCTTACCAATACATATTTCAATTTTTCCTTTTATAGCAGCCTCATGCAGAGGTGTATAATTCCAATTATCTCTAGTATTAGGATCGGCTCCAGCTTCTAATAATAAACCAACCACATCTTCATGTCCAAATGAGCAAGCATTATGCAATGGATGAAGTCCACCATCATCATGAGCTTGGATAGATGCTCCAGCAGCTAATAATAGTTCAACTATATCACGGCGACCAAATCCTACAGTGATTAAAATCTACAGTAATTACTAATATTAATTTATTATTAAATAATTTACTTATAAGATGATTTATATTATCTTATTACTTTCAATATATTTATAATACATCATTTATTTCGAAAAAATATAGATTTTAATATTACTATAAAGTACAATAAATCAAAAGAAAAAATGTATTTTTTGTAAACTATAAAATTACTATTCAGAAATCATTTATATTTAAATATTTAAAACGTAAGAATATACCAAGTTGCCCTAGCACTTCTCCCTCTAAAAATCCTTTCACTCAGCTTTTTTTAATGCCATTGTTTTTATTCATAACATTAAACATTTAAGGTATTATAAATATAATTTAATTAATTTATAGAAAATTCCTATTCATGAAAATTATTTAAAATCAATTTATAAAAAAAAAATGGATAAAAATTAGGTTATACAGGATTTAAATTAAAAAACTTGAAAAAATACTATACATGAAAATAAAATAAGAAATTGATTTTAGTATTCAAGAAAAGAAATTAAAATATTATGATATTAAAACTATTTTCATTAGCTAGGTATTTTATCAAATTATAATTAATGTAACACCACAATTTATAACTAAAGATTGAAAAATATTAGAAATTATCTAAGTGTTATGCAAAAATAAACATCATAAACATCAAGATTATAGATTCATATAATTAATTTACCAGCAGCGAAATGTAAAGGTGTACTTTTTCTACCCGTTGTATCTCTAGCGTTGACTGTCTCGGCATTTATCTGTCGCCTGACTTTGTTCAAGTCACCTGATTTACACGCTTCAAACAGTTCTCGTAATGGGTCCTCCTGAAGCAAAGCGTATATGATGGGCTGTTCAGATTCATGTCGTTTGGTACGCATCATGATGATACTTCACTACGAAATCACATCACTGTGTTAATGCTGCGAGTAGAAACGTGTTATGTATTTCAATTTACACGCAAGATATATGCCATGCATATAAATATCGAAGACGAAATGATATTGTGCAATGTCAGTTATTGCCGAATAACACGGTCAATGTGTCAAGTCAAAGCTATTCCACGTTTGCCGACATATGTTCTTGTGTACCTGGTACATCTCTGTTGATATTATCTTGGCACACACGTTGGTACGTGAACCGCGAGTTATGGCACTCGTTTGTCTCACCAAACAGCATTATATACCTGTGGGGCGATGGCTAAACAACAACGACAGGGATGTAAGGATGGTAGTTCGAACGGCTAATAATAATCGTCCTCTAATAACGACGACGATCGACCACTACGAACGGTACGAAGGTAAAAATCTGGTTTGGGTCCGCAGATCACGAGTGATATTCGATGATAATGTACTGTATTACCAGTAATGTTGTCTGTGTATATTATTATTATTACTTTTATTGCGACGAGAGACGGCGAGAGAGAAGCGTCAAGAGAAAGGGTGATAGAGTGAGAACGATTTCTTACCATTCAACAATTACCAGTCCTTCCTCTTTAATCCACCGAGAATAGAATGGAGCGGAGCGGCTGCCTGGGCCCGTGAGAGCGGACGCAGCGGATCAGCGGGCGATGTTGTTATGCTCCTCTACAGCGGTGGGGGGCCTGATACTGCGGTAACGAGGCCAGTGTGACCGACGACGTAATAAGCTCGTACAGATGGTCAAGCTGCGCACGCATATGTTATGCACCCAGCCGAGCGCTGTTGATATACCTATACCAGATCACTTCTCTTACTTCATCACCGGAACGTCGTGTCCCCGTCCGACCTTTCGCTGCTCTTATCACATTTAGATTTGGACTTGGTGCCGCTGCGGGTTTTCAATCGGAACTAGTCGATTTTTCGGACGTCCGTTGTTTCCACGCCATTTGTTGACCACCGCTCTCGCAATGGCCGTTTCTACTAGGATTTTCTCGAGGATCGCAGGTAAGCAGAACAGACGTGCAAGCCAATCCTATATGGCCGATTGATGTCATGACGACAGCTTTCACACCGTTTTTCGAATGTCATCGCACTATCACTTCCTGTTGGGACTGTTGTTGCTTCACGATCCGTCCATTTTCTCTTCCTTAGTCGTTTGACTTCGGTGATCTTTCTACTCGTGTACCGCAGTCTGTTAAATTCCTTTTTATTGATTACGGCCGAGCTTCGTACCTTAATGTTCGAACCAAAATGTTAACCATCCTGTTTCTGTGTTAAAAATATTTTTACCAATGACTGACTAATCTGTCGATGTTGACATTTTCTCTATGACGAAACGATGAATTCATCCATCAATTTATTTGATTTGTAATACTTTAGATAATATCTGTTGTTTAAGATAATATGCTTTTGATTCGGTATACCCCTTGCTAAAATAATTTTTCTTATATGTATTTAAATTACTTGTCTGACAATTGTTTAAGATATGAAAATATGAATTTAATATATCTGTAATTGTTGAACTATATTAGTTGTAACTTGAAGCTTTCATAAATAAAAAATAAAATAATATTAATATAATAATAAAATTATTTAAGATAATTATTGGTATTATCTTAAATTAAATACATTTTGCATTATTGAATAAATTTTATCTAATGATATTTTGAACTTTTATTTTAGTATGCAATTTAATGGGTATTCGATCTTCATCAAATTCAGTTGATCCAAGAATCTATGCAGAGACGAGAAAAAATTTACTTTTGACAAAAGATACTAAAGTTATTTGTCAAGGGATGACTGGGAAACAAGGAACGTTTCATACGACTCAAGCTCTAGAATATGGTACTTGTATGGTAGGAGGAGTCTCTCCTGGTAAAGGAGGAAAAACCCATTTAAATTTACCTATTTTTAACTCCGTGAAAGAGGTAATATTGTATTTTAATTACTTGGATATCAAAAATGTAATCCTTATTTTTATTCTTGTCAGGCAAGGGAAGGAACTGGAGCAGATGCTACAGTAATTTATGTACCACCACCTGGAGCTGCAAAAGCAATTATAGAAGCTATAGATGCTGAAGTTCCCTTAATTGTATGTATTACAGAAGGGATACCTCAACAAGATATGGTTCGGGTAAAACATAAATTACTTAGACAGAATAAGTCTAGATTACTTGGACCTAATTGTCCTGGAATCATTGCTCCGGAACAAGTATATTTACTCTTGTTTATTAATATGATAATTAAATGGTTAAATGTAATAAATCTTTTAGTGTAAAATTGGTATTATGCCGGGTCATATCCATTTAAAAGGTTCTGTTGGTGTAGTGTCACGTTCAGGTACACTTACTTATGAAGCTGTTCATCAAACATCTCAAGTTGGCCTTGGACAAACTCTCTGTGTTGGTATTGGTGGTGATCCATTCAATGGAACTGATTTTATTGATTGTTTAGAAGTTTTCCTAGAAGATCCAAATACACATGGTATTATTCTCATTGGTGAAATTGGTGGACAACAAGAAGAAATGGCGGCTGATTATTTGAAAAAAAATAATAGTGTAAGTAACAAATTTTATTTACCCGTTTGTACTATCATTAATATTTTATTGTATTTTTTAGGGTCCAAATGCCAAACCAGTTGTATCTTTTATTGCTGGGTTGACAGCACCACCTGGTCGTCGTATGGGTCACGCTGGAGCAATTATTTCTGGTGGAAAAGGTGGAGCTCAAGACAAAATAAATGCACTAGAAGAGGTAGTTTGGTGGTTAATTAATTAATTATAATTAATTAATATTTTTATATTTTCCAGGCTGGAATAGTTGTAACCAAGAGTCCAGCTGCTATGGGAATTGAACTGTCAAAATTGATGAAAGTCAAATCATAAGTTATTGTGTGCCGTTAGTTTAGTTTTATTTTAAACTATGGCAAATTAGACTAAATACACTTTACCGTTGTCATTGGTTAGGTCAAAATTGCTTTCTTTAGGAATAATGTACTTTAAATATTTCCTATTCATCAAATGTTTCTATACATCCATATATAACAGTATAAATTTTCATGAAATATTTTTTATTATATTTCATTATATTGCTTCTTTTCAATATTACTATCAAAAAATGAAATATCATCTTAAATATATTGAATATTAGCACTAAAAATTAAATTATTTGCACTATACAATTATCTTAAATTATTTTATTTGATATTATACTATTAAATTGTACAGTTGTTCATTTTATGTTTTCATCAAAACCATTATGTTAAAAACAATTGTTTTATATTTGAAACTGAATTGTGCTATGTTGAAAATGGTTAAATATAATATTATGTTATTATTACCCTAATTTATATTAGCTGTTTTCTTATAATATATGTCAACAAATTGAATGTTACAAGTAAATATTTTTTGGGTTTATTGAATTTTAAAATTCAATTTTTATTTTTATATTTACAAAAACAATAAATATTATAAAAGTTTATAACTTGCATATAAAAATTAAATCTTTTATTGTTTCTTAGAACATTTTAATACATTAGTATCATTTTTAGTTTAATTGATATCTAAATTTTTATCAACATTAATTACTTATATAAATGAATAAGTACATAAACAGTTGTTTGTCATCAAATAACAACAAAAATGTATTAATTATTTTCTTAATGTTTATCTTAAAATATAATTATTAATATAGAAATTAACTATCAATATTATGGTGATTATAAATTATTAATAACCATAGCAATCAAAAATTATCAATTTTAAGGTCATAAATATTTTTAATAAAAATCAAATAATTATCTGTTCTGAGTTATAAAGACTGACAATGATTAATGTGGAAATAATTTTTATTGTTTCAATTGTTAATAGGTCAAAAATTAAGTTTAGGTATGTGTTGAAGCTTTGTTTCATAATATCTTATCTTAAATATGCATACTTAAGTTTAATATATAAAAATTAATTTGTTGTCTAAACATGAAATATTATTAAGACAATTAATGAATAAAATTAATATCAGTATTGTAAGCTTATTAGTGTTAAAAAAAAGTCAAATGATAGAATACACCTTTTTTTGAATGTTATTAATCACAATTGAACTTCCAAGTTATTACATTTTGCAACAGCAATGATCCAAATACCAGTAGTTAGTCTAAGAACTAAATTAATATTTCATTTTATTTTTTTAACACTACCAACTCCCTGTAATATATTAAATCTATTTTTGATTGTAAAACTGTTAATAAAATGGTCAGTGTAAAATCTAATGTCTGAAATATTCATTTTTAAATTTATAACAGTTAAATATTATTAAGATTATTTATTTCACAAACTAAACAATATATTATTTGGTTCTGTAAAAAAAAAACTATTATCACAACTAATAACTAAATATAATCAGCTTAGTCTTAGTCTCTCATATTTATATTAAATGTACATTTATATTTCAGTAATCCATGCCATTTTTGTTGCATTATTTTAGAATCATGATATACTAATTTACTGAGGTTGGAGTGTAATTAATTAAATTAAAGATTAATATGAACATGCGATAATATCCAAGTTGATTTGTGATATTTTTAACTAAATAAACTTGATAAATTAAAATGCTATCAGTCTAACACTTTTTTTAATCCATGAGCTTCATATTTATTTCAATAACAGTCTTCCCAGTGGCGTATACAAGATTATGTGGAGATCAGATCCTCCTCTAGGCCTTTTTTTAAATGTTATAAAATTATGTTCTTAGTGTGAGAGGTTAGAAACGTAAAAAAAAAATAATGATTTCTTTGCCAATGATCCCTCCCCATATAAAAGTTATGTATACGCCACTGGATCCTCCTCATATAATAATTTATGTTTAGTATATGTATTTTTCATATAGTGCTAAATTAATGACCATTTCCAATTACAATTTTGTGATACCTAGGTTGCAAACCACCTCACCAATAGTCTAGCAAACATTGAGAAAAAATAATTTTTAAATTATTTTTTTAATATTTAAATTTAAATTTCCAAACAAAATATTTGTATAAAGAAGTTTGATATAATTGGTTTTATCACATACAATTAGAATATATTAAATAAATACTGAAGACCAACGAGAAACTTAATGTACTGTTAGTGACATATTTGATAGTATTACGAAAGTTCATCTATTTAACATTTTTAATCTGTAAAATTAAAAATAGATTAAAAAAATACTCATTGACAAAAAAAATGTTAACTAAACTTTTATATATATATATATATATAATAATTATAATTAATTCAAAATTTTGCATGGATCAATTATAAAAGTCTAGAATAAAAAAAAAAAAGATACATGATCTGTTAGAATTTAACAATCACTTATAACTCAGTATTTAGTACATTAATCTTCTGTGTACTCAAAAGGTTCAGGTGCTTCTGGTTCCTTATCATCTTCTGGTTTAGGTCCAAAAGCTGCAACAGGTTCAACTAATTGTTCATCTTCAATTCCGATTTTGGTGAAACGTGTCATGATTATACCACCAATAGAAACATCTTTTAAGGGTGAATATGGAGTATTTTCAATCAATTGTAAGTGCTTCAATTGTTGTTTCATTACTCTAGCTGGGTTATTTAATATCTCAAAGTTAGGTTCTGGTTTTTGTTCTTCTTTCTTTTCATCCTTTTTTTTACTTGTTGATGCTTCTTTTTCATCGATTTCCATTTTTTCACTGATAGATGGTGCTGCTTCAGTAGTTTTCACAGTACTACCCTCACGGCGTTTTGCTCTAGCTGCAATACTCAACACAGCAGTAGTGACTTTCTCTCTTTCTTCTCGTTTCTTTTCTTCCATTGGTACAGGGTATGCATACAATGATGGTTTAGCATTACTTTTCAACTCTAACAAGGGCATTTTGAGCTGTGCGTTTAATGCAATGATGCAAGTAGGTGTGAAAGCTAAGGCTAAGCAATGGGCTAGAGGGAACCAGTACCAATATTGGGTGAACAATAATAGACCAACAACAGCCAACATATTAGTATGTCCAGTTCTTGATTCCAAAGAAATCGAAACATTACGACCACCACCATCAATGATACCTTGAGCTAGAATAGCACCAAACTTAGCCATGACATCTTCATGTTTATCAGTAATCACTTTAGCGTAAAGTGTACGGAAATCTTTAACTTTTGGACAAGTGCTTTCTGTTTGTTGAATAAGTATCATAGCAGATGCGATTAATGCTCCTTGACGAACATAATTTACTGGATCATTGGTCATTGGTTCTAATAAATTAATAGCTTCTTTGAGACCTGTACCAGCACAAGCAATACCAAGAGCCATTGCTGCACCATATCTAACATGGGGATTATAACTTTCTGCCAATAAACTAACAACTTGAGGACATTGTTCAGGGGTTCTGAATAGTAAAAATCCTAATCCTGTGACTGCAGCACGACGTACATCATCATTAACGTCAGAAACTGCAACATGTAATAACTTCCTAATGGCAGTGTTGCTTCCAGTTCCACAATATGCCATAGATATTGTGTACATTGCAGAACGGCGCAAAATTGGATCTTTGTCTTGTAGCAAAGATGTAATTAATGGGTCAGCTTCTTCTAGTCGACCATACATAACAAATGATATTCCAACAGCTAAACCTCTTAAAATTTTTTCATGCTGTGTCACTTGAGCATATGCTACCATATCTTGGAGAGCTTCACCATTTTTAGATCCCAACATAACCAATCCCATAGCTAATCCAGCAGCTTCACCAGTCACAGCATCATCTTGATACATGTTGAATTTTAACTGTTCATAAATATCTTCACGGCTTGTTCCCATAGCTGAAAGACCAATTCCTAAACATCCTCCATGTTTCACAATCTAAAATTAAAAATGTGTTAGTTATGTTATTGTAAAATTATATTTATTATTTACTTCATTGTGTGCATCCTTAAGTTGTCCTAAAAGGTAGTCATTGATAGCAGCACCATGGTTAGCATGAATCAAACCTAAAGCATAAAGACCACCACCTTCACTATATCCTGAACTTCCTGAAGAATTATTTTCTCTGGGAGGTAAATAACTGCGCATTAATTCAAGTGCATCAGTTTCATGACCTCTATGAATGACACCAAGAGAAGCAGTAGCTGATAACTTAGCCCAATTTGTAGCCCTGGCTAACCATTCCAAGTTATCCCTAAAATAATTATTTCTAATATTAATTAAATAAGCACTAAAAATATTTGACTATACAATAGTTATCCTAAATGCTTTAACCTTTTTTTATATGAATACATTTCCTAGTAAACACTATAAATGTAACTTTATAAATAGCTATATCAATAACATCTCAAAACATATCTTACAGTACAGATACTTTTTAACAAAATTAAGAATCTTCTTTGCCTTTCTCCTAACTATTTGGGGTCGGCCACCCTTGTTCTAAACCTCCACTTGTTTAGATTTTCTACATCCCCTTTGCACACACCAATGGCCCTCATATCATTCTCAATTGAATCAAGCCATCTCTTTTTTAGTCTTCCTCTTCTTCTTTTCGCTTCAATATTCATTTTCATAACAACTTTTACTACATTTGTTTCCTCTTGCCTCATTACATGCATAAACCATTTATATTTTTCTCTCATCTTGTTCACTATAGACACTACACCAATACTACTTCTCACATATTTATTCCTTATTCTATCTTTTCTTGTCACTCCACTCATCCATCTAAGCATTCTCATTTCCAAAACACTCATACTCAGTTTTATTCTCCTGTCAACACTCCGAACAATATAGCATAGTTAGTCTCACTACACTCCTGTAAAATTTATATTTGAGCTTATTGGAATTCTCTTATCGCATAAAAACACTCAATGCTTCTCTTAATTTCATCCAACTACACTTAATCCTTTATTTTACATCTATGCCAAAGCCCTCGTCCTTTTGTATAAATGATTCTAATACTTAAAGTTCTCTACTTTATCTATCAAATCTTTCTCAAACCCATCTCTTTATTGGTCTCCTCATACCTTCAACTACCAAAAATACTAAGAGTCTTCTTCCAAAGTCATAGGTACTATATATACACTGTTTTATTTCTACTAATTCTCAATCCCTTTCCTTCAAGGGTTTACTTCCACTTATTCAACCTATTACCTTATTATTATCTTCTTTCAGATTTTCTCCTACCAAAACTATATCATCAGCAAACATCATGCATCATGGTATCTTTCCCTTTATATCTTTTGTAACTGTATTAGTTACCACATAGAATAAAAAGGGCTTAGAGTTGACCCCTGATGCACACCAACTCCTACGTTCAAATCTGCTGTTACTCCACAAACTACTTTACGCAACTACTTTCTGAATCTCCTCATCTCACGATCACGTTTCCTTATTTTCTGGTATACTACTCCTATGTTGTCTTATAATACTTTCTCCAGGAATTACTTTATAATCTTTTATAATTATACAAATATATTTTTATATACTATAAACTTTTTCTCTAGCCTCACTTTTCTTGCCAAATTCATACCTTTTTTCATAGTCTACTTTCTCATTACTTGTCCATTTATATCACTACCAATCACAGTATCTTCATTTCCTGGTATTCTATTGCATAACTTCATCCATTTCTTGCCAGAACTCTTCCTTTTCCCTTTCTTTACATCCTACTTGTAGCACATACACACTTATTACATTTAATACTCTTTCCTCAAAAATCAATTTTACCATGATAATTCTATCACTTTTTCTTCTTTCATCGACTACTTTATTTTTCATCTTCTCACCCAATATTACTCCAACCCCATTTTTAGTACTAGTTCTACCTAAATATATTATTTTATAAACCCCTCCTATTTCTTTTGCTTTCTTTCCCAACAAATATTAACTTTCCTCCTATTAAATACTTCTGCTAATTCTCTACTTCTGCCTGTTAACATTTACACATTCTACGTGCCTATTTTTACTTTATACCTGTATCTCACACCTAAATGCAGATTTAACCCGGGGTGTAATGGTGATGTCTCTATATCGTTGACATTACTTATATTGAATAGACCTGAAGACATAACAGGTGAAATAGCTACCACACTGGCTGTCCTGCTGGTATGACACATTTCATCACGGCCTCCTCCACCCTTAACTATAATACTTCCTCTCACCTGTCGTCCCTATACACTGTGTACTATAACCGCAAGTTTTGTTTAGGATTTATACTCTTTTACAAAATTTTACACTGGCTGTTAACATGATTACAACTTACAACTTGCTGAGAAATTGTGGAAGTATTTTAATAGGGGTTAACAAGCTAAAGAATATATACTGTAAATATAAACATATTTTTGTTTACCTTAAAAATTGATCACTAGTTGTACCACTATGCATAAAACCATTGGCGATAACAGTAGCTGTATGACAAACGCTCGCACGAATTGCTTCTTTTGTATTTTTTAAGATCAACATGTCTGTATGATTACTTCTTATTAGAAACTGCAAATGTAGCTCTATGCTTACTTCTCCACTAAGTACTTTGGTTAATTTTTGGATTACTTCTTGACGATATTTATCATCAGGTCCAAGAGATTCAAAAGAACGTTCTTCAACAACAGGTTGAACAGAAGTCATTTCGGTTGAAGCAACAGCTATAGGTGTGGTAACATTATCTTTGTTAGCAGTACTTTGCGCAGCAGGAATAGCTTTTATCACATGAGTAGCAGAAGGTATAGGTGCTGTTTGTCTTAAAGATTCAAGAACACTAGACAAAAATTGCTGGGTGGCTGATTCATATAAATCAAATGCAATTTGATATGCCATTAAACTATTCTTTTCATCATTATTTTGGATAAGACCTTCGAGTAATTGAGCTACAGATTTGGGGTCATCTAAGAAAATAAAACATTGGCTCATGTTGACATAGTCTGGAACTTCTAGATTTCTGTACAAACTAATGAGACTACGTAACACTGTACTGCGGAAACTTCTATTTTCAATAGTGCTCATAGCCACTTGGAAAGCATAAGATAACATTTCATTGACATTGTCCGATGATTCAATGGATTTGGCAAATATATCCATACGTCTTGTTTCCAAAGCCAAACCTAAAGCCTGTTTATATTGCTTGTCATCAAGACATCTTTGAAACATACGATTGACAATTGCTTCCAAGCGTACATCCATTGATGGTGGTGAACTCAAATTCTCTGCAGCTTCCACACGAAGTTTTGTATAGTGATCAATACATTTGGCGATGATTGTTTCCACGTATTCATTGCGCGCGTTCACGTCAAACAAATCGCTAGCGCCTAAAGCGTATTGTAACGAGTCGGCAAATGAACCGAGATGATAATATACCTTGCTGGCGACTAGAGCGGCCAAACTCTGTTGTGCAAATGTCTTGTCTTCGTGAAGGAATTCGATTTTTTGAATGGCCTCCGATATCTCGGGCCAGAATTCATCGACAATGGAATCCAACTTGCGGAGAGCGAATATTTTTAATTCAGATGCTGGTTCGTCCAGCAACGATATCACACCCGCTGCTGACGTTATATTCATTTTGACGGCTTGTAATAGTTAAAAATACGAATAATTTCCAAACTTTTGAAACGTAGTAGACTTTATTCGAATAAAAACATCAGATAGAAAACTAGCAGTACATTGACTGTATACTGGTTATGTTTTACTTAAATGACAAGCGAATATTGACAACAATAAAGTACGAGTCATGTTCTGCCGTAATCCAAAGAGCACGCGACCCGTATTAATAACCTCCTAGGCTTTACCTTATTTTATCACGGATTAAAACCACTTTGATGGGAACGTAGGTATGCGCGTCCCGACTTTAATAATTGTGAAATGTCTTTGTGGATTATTTTAAATGACAATTTTGTATACGATATTGAATGTGCATTCGTGCAACGTAAAAACCACGATTTAAAATAATTATCTAAATCATGGTAAAAACTCAACGAATCGTTCATGAGTAATGTTTTATAAACCACTAATATGTATACAATAATATATACAACAATAACGTGTACAATATTATTGTACACATTTATGTGCAACACTTCTTTATCGCCGTTCTGATAACGGGTTTTTATCTTCAGCTTTGAATATTACCCGCTCTTATCCCCTCCAAGAATATTATTTGTATTTTATTTATGTACATTAATCGCGGTGGTAGGACGTTGTAATATTGCCTTTTTATTTTTAAACGTTTTTTCATTGTTTCGCTCACTTTTCGCTTTGCTCTTTTCTATGATCAGTATATCACGTTATCGATTTCTATTATATGTATGATTTTTTTTTTTTCAAAATCATTTACTCATTTTTACGAATATAATTTTGAACATCGTCATGAATAAAAGAAAGTATCCTTATGGCATCGATATGTGTCCACAGTTGAAAATGCATATAGGTGATAAACAAGTTGCTAATGGAGTCTTAGGGCCATTAAAAATGAACGAAGTTTATGGTAAGAAATATTGACATAATGTACCATGTGTTAACTTTTGAAGTTATAGGTCAGATACAGACCCCATTATTCTATTCTTCTCGGATATATTTCGAATTTTTTTTTACATCATTTAAATCAAATAATTAATATTTATTAGTATATTATAGACTATGTCAAACATTAAATCATTTACACAATTCTAGATATTAAAATTCAGTAGGCGTTATAATTTACTATGATAGTGAAGTTAGGGTTTAATGATTAATTAAGTTAAAAGATAATTATATTCATGATGAGCACTAAATTAACTCAAATTAATCTAATTCAACAGGCGTTTAAATGTGATGTTATCAACAGTGATCCTGGACTCAATTACATTGCTTAGAAATTTGGAATATTAAAAATAAAACAAACCATTATTAACCCTTCGTTAGTCACCTTGTTGACCTGAACAATTTTAATCACCCGGGGTAATATTATACCCCATGTATTAAACTTATTTCTGTAATTAATACATTTCTAGATTTTATTATTTTTTATTAAATATGTGTCTTACATATAGATATAATTAATATTTAAATAATTAAATGCGATTTTTTTAAATATTTCAAAGGTAATATGAACATTTATTCTATATAATTATAAAATTAAATATTGCTAATTACTTTTCTAGTTTTTTATTTTATTTTTTATGTGATATTAATATAGTGATCTATTATTTAAATTATTATTTTGGATAACATATACAAGATATTTTTATTATTATTTATTAATTTATGTTAAATAGGAACCCTAATATCATAATTGAAAATAGGTCAAATATAATGTAATTATCTTTTCAGTATACTTTTATAATAAAATTAAAATAAAAATATTTATTCTTAGAAGAAACTCTTTTTGAAAAATATAACAATTTTTAAAAATACATAACTTGTAATGAAAATAATAAAAAACTTTTTTTAAAAAACTTAATAATTCTGTAAAAATTGGAATTTTTTTATAAATTAATTTTCAAATGATCTTAAACTAAAGTAGTCACCTGGGGTAAAATATTTCCAGACTCCATTTTGAATTACTGTTTATCATTTGAGACTACAATGATAATGATAAAAACCATGCTATCATATTAATAAACTAATCAAAAATGATATCACGGCGGTGGAGGTGCATATGTTCTTACCTCTATAAGAATAAACGTTTTTAACATGTCTGGGGTATTAAAATACCCCGTGGTGACTAACGAAGGGTTAACAAAATTAAATTAATAATTTTTGACAATACTTGGCAAATGATTTCTATTTAAAATAATATATTTATTTATAGATACTTAAACAATTTTTTTTTCTAGTCTGAAAGAGTGATAAATTAGAAGGGCTGGTGGATTAATCTAATTATTTAAACTGGTTGTTTCAGTTTCATTTGATGCCACTGGTTATTGATGTTGGTTAGGCCAAATACAACACTACAATAGTTGTAGGTCTTATTGCACAGGTATACTTTAGTTTCTAAAGTATACCTATACAATACACTAACCATTTGAACAAATTATTTTGAATATCTAATATATAAGCTTAATAAAAAAAAATAATATAAATTTTGTCGTTTTAGAAAAGACAAAACAGTTGTTGTTTCAAAACTCTGGAGCATCTTTTGATGCAATATTTCAGGCTGTGGTAGTGGACCAAACGCCATGTGATAGTAAACCATCCAAACAATTACAATTGACATTTGATGGAAAACTTCTCAAACCATGTGTTTCAATCAAAGTAGATGTACAATTCTACAAATTATTTACACTCAGTTAAACAAAATTTTTCATTGATTCATTTAAATTTTAATTGTTTTAGAATTCAAAAGTGTATAAAGATAATCAGAAAATATGTAATTTTTGTTCACAAACAGAAAAATTGGATTTTTGTGGGAAATGTGGAGATATATTTTGCAATATGTGTTCATTATCTTTGTAAGTACTTATTTAACATTTTTACTTTTAATATTAATTATTATATCTATTATTTGTAGTAATTATTTTTTTTTAATTATTATATTAAATTCTTTTTTCAGATGCAACGATGAAATTAATAAAATTTGTTTAACATGTTATAATTAAAAATTATTTAAGTAATTAAAGTTATTTGGTATTATATTTTAATTGACGAAATAGTTTATAATGTAAAACTTAGATTTTATTTATTTTATTATTTTATTACAAGTGTATATTATATGTATGAAAATAAATTATTTTTTTTTTTATATGAAAAATGTGTTTAAAAAAACTTAGGTTTTTCCATGTTTATATTAGGTGATTTATATTTAATAATAGTAATTATTGGATTTAAATAGTTTTCTAAATATTTTTACTTTATATTTAAAACTTAATTGTCATAATTGTACTTTTCAGTTGTATATTTCTACCTGTATTTATCTGACTAAAAGACCATGAATTAACCAGTTTCAATTTAGTCTTCAAATGTAGATAGTAAAATGATATTGTAATATCTTTGTCCTCATCGACCATAAAATAATAGGTTTCAGATCGGACTCAAATGTACAAGGTGATACCAAATATAAATAATCAATCTAATGAGTTAAAAACCCTTTATTAAAATATTTTTAAAAAAATACACATAAACAGATAAAAACAATCCAACGTATATCGTTGAACTGGCGTACCATGACTTCTCTCCTCTATTTTCTTTTGCTTTTATCTGTTTACAATTAAGCTGCCTCAGCACATTTGCTTCACTGGCCTACATTACAAATATGCTTTTCAATTTGTTTATAGTTGTCACCTATAGCTACACTCCCCTATGTTAATTAAAAATATGCCTTCATATTTTATACTTAATATTAATTACAATTAAAATGTATATGACTACATAGTATGTAGTATTACATAGTATTATGTAATATAATATATACAGTGTTTACAAATAAGAACAATTCTAAATTATAGCAATTGGGGTGTAAGGATGTGGTTTATGTACACAAGGGTTCTATCTAAATCTATTTTTTTTTTATTTAGAATTTGGTGGGTTTTGAATTGGGATGAAATTTACAATTTGTTCAAAATCTTTTCATCTATTTTTTTATTTCTTGTGTTCTTTTTTAGTTTTCTCCGATATTTTTTTAATGTTGAATGGTTTGTCATTCACATCTTTTTTGTTGTCTGACATCTGAAATATTTATAGCATGATATTAATGTTTTAAAGTGTGTTCATTTTGTTTTACTTGTTTTTTTTTTTATATATTTTTATAGCGATTTAGATCCTTAGAGTAGATGTACATTTTTTTTGTTTTTGGGATGTTAGGTATGTAATACAATGTAACTGGAAAGGGAATAAATTAAATTGTGAATTTGGTTTTTAAGGAATGTCTTGAATAAATTCTTTCTACAGTTTTTATCTTGTGATCCTTGTTGCGGTGTCTTGTTTTTTTTTTGTTGTTTTGCTGATGATACATAATATATTACAATATTGGTAGTGGTGCCCAACGTGATTCGTAATCCACTACCCGAATTTCTTTTATCATTTGTGTTATAATTTGTTTTAATTACAAGTAAATTTTGTGTGTATTACACATATTGCGTTTTGTACATTTTTCCATCAGATTGAACTTCTACGGTGAGAAGACTACGAGCAATTGGTTCTATCATTTTGGTGTTTGACACACTAGAGGTGAATATTAGTGTATGGTTATAATAAATTTGTATATATGCGATCTATAATTACAAATAATTCTTCGTTTATCAATGTATAATTTTTAATGTTAATTAATTTTATAAATTTACTGTTAAAACACTCCTAATACATTTTTCTTACAATAAATTTAATAAAACTTCCAAATAATTTAAATTAATAGGGATTTTAACATTATAATTTAGGTATATAATTTTAGTTAAAAATAATTAATTATAATTAAACACAGTTAATATATCCAAGTAAAGATTTAGGACTATTTAAATTAATTTTTCAATTTCATAATTTAATGAATCAACTTAAAGACCCTGAATCGGATTTTTCTATAACAAAAAATACTGCAACAGAAATCTATAATCTCAAAAAACCATTTCTTATTAAATATTGCGAAAATAAAAATTTAAATCAACAAGTAAAGCTAGTGAATTAAGAGCTAGACTTCAGTGGCATAGCCAAAAGGGGGGCTATAGCCTCCCCTATGAGCCGTGTTTATATGTATAGTGTATCTATGTACTAAACTAGTATACTACTATTTTTATTTAAGTATTTTAAATCATTGGTATTAACTAAATTTTAATGAATAACGAGCGTTTGTCTTTGGCGTAGATATTACAGATTACTAATTAGGGATGGGCCAAAAATATCGATATATCATCCGATAATATTAATATCGTCGACTACGAACGAAAACCTCGTAACTCGAAATTTTCATAATTTTTTTTTTTTGATGCACTGCATTTTTGTGCATATTTTGATATCAAATTACCATATTATTTCTAAGTGATTTTATAAGATATCATAACACGGATATATAATACAACAAACTGAAATAACAATTATTAGTACTAGGAAGGGCTGTAGCCTATTTGCGCCCCGAGGGTTATGGACATTTGCGCCCAAAATAAAAAACTTAACACCCTGATTTATAGCCCAAATGCGCCCATTTTGCATGCAACGTTGCCGTTGTTGTTTAAAAATATACAATTCTATGTAAAATCAAAATTAAAAAAAAGTAATAATTTTAAAAATAATGTTAAATACTAAACAGTATACATATTATATATACATATATATTATTTATATTGCATTAAATTATTAATTTCAAATAGAAACATTTTTACGTAAAATCAAAATAATTAATAAATACAATTACAATAATATCACATATACATCTAAATTTGTTAAAATTACTAAATTAGAAATCTGTTCAATTGCTTCGTTGAGTGATTTAGGAACTGAGGGTAATATTTTTCGACGTTCTCGGTATATAGACTTTCTGATATTATGAACATCAGAATTCTTAGCGGTGCTGCACGTGGAAAGCTCTGTACGTATTATTTTATTAGGTCGTAAAGTTAAATCTTCACACGCTTTTCTTTTACACCTACCTTGAACGTCCAGTAAGTTTAAATTTTCTTCAGTTTCCGGATCATGGGTATGGCTGTCTTTAATTTCGGTTAACTTCGTTTTTGAACTATTGGTTTTGACTTACGCACTACAGGTTTTTTTTACACAACGCCAACTTATATCTCCAGAAACAAGGGTTCTACTCACGTGATATTTAAAATAACGAAAAACTAAACAAAGTTTTTGTTTACTTGAATTAGTTATATAAAATTCCATTATAGTAGTACTCACTATTCATGTACTGATGCAACTGACACATATAAAATACAACTGATAAATGCATTTTTATATAATATAATCTTATCGATTGGGATTTTACAATTTCGATTAGCACGACTAACGACAAAATATTATTATCTTTATCGATTTTGATATTGGTTTCGATTAGATTGGGAAACGATCAAATATTATTTTAGATTTTATAGTTACACGCCAATATACTCAATAAATGGCAACGTTGCACGATTTTCACCTGATCTGAATCGGGCGCATATGGGCTATGATTTGGGGCGCAAATGGGCTACGATAAATGGGTTCGGGCGCAAATGGGTTGCGCCGCTAGGAAGTAGAGAGTAGGGGTTGGGATTTCCAAATGGTTATTTTTACCATATTACACATTATAATAATTATAATGTGTAATATGGTAAAAATTATTTAAATTATTTACAATGGATTGTTGTTTTTATTTAGACATGTTAGATTATTTAATAAAGAAAAACTTGGTAATTCATATTTTAGTGTTGTTACTTAGTAGTTTGTTATTCATTTATCATTCGACAATAGTCTTAGAATTTTTTATAATTTATAATAAGTTAATTATGAATTTATAATATAAATGTATATAAGTAAATTGCATTTAATTTGCTTCATAATTGTTATTATTTGGTGTAACTATTTGTACTTAAAAACATACACTAAAAAATTAGAACCCACATTTTATATACTATAAAAAGAGAAAAAAAAAATCAAAATATGTGATATATCAGAATATCGATATATTTTGGGGAAAATATTGATATCAATTGATAAATTTTATATTTAACCAATATCGATAGTATCGATATTTTTTCATTTTGGCCCATCCGTATTACCATTGATTATAGAATAGAGTATATTCTATAATATATTTATAATGAATGGTATTATTAATACTTCTAGTTTCACGAGCGCTTCCCCGCAGTAAGGCATTTGGCTGGCTTATCATAAAAGAACGTTATCATAACTTCAAATTGTAAAATGTAAAACGTAGGAGCTAGAAGATCTATTTTGATTTAAAAGGTATATATTAATATACTATTAGGTATATTATAATGTATAGTTTTATAAATTCTTTACATTTGATGAATATAAATTATATCATGTCCTAATGTATATGGTAGGTAGGCAGGCACGTAGCTAAAGAAGGGCCAGATGTGCTTGGCCCACCCTAATATGTGTCCGGCCTTAGGCTGGCCCACCTTAAGTATTGAGAGGGGCTCATTATTATATGATTGCTTTTAATTTTTACCAAATTTTTAATATTGCTTAAATATGACGCAAATAAAACCAAATGCATCGAGTTTTAATTATAATCTAAGTAATGTAACTTGTACCTAAATTTAAACAATCGATTAGGAAATAATTGCTATTTATAGCTAAATACCGGTACTATACTACAATGTCAAGTTGTTCTTATCATATCTAGACAGTGATTACTGTATACTTATATGTCTATTTTTAAAATACTTTGAGCGAGGGTATTGTCATTATATTGATTCATATAGAAATACAGAATTATATCATGGTCTCCGATTGGGCACTTACATTCACATTCAGCGCACGCCACACTTCAATGCGACGTGCATTGATCTCTTAATTATCAAAACACTCAAGACCAACAAATCTCCTGGCCACAATCAAATCAGTAATAAAATGTAATAAAATGCTAAAAAATATCCCGGCTAAAACCATCATTCATCTCACGCATATACAGGTATACAATATCATATATCAATATCATCGTCTATCATACTTTCCCTCCACTTAGAAGTCAGCAGTTATTATTCCAATCCTTAAACCCAGCAAGCCTCCAGACAAAACGGATTCGTACAGGCCAATTAATCTGTTACCAGTGTTCGGAAAAATCCTGGAAAAATTACTCCCCAAGAGACTAGTATCAATTACAAATGAAAAAAATGCATTACCTGAATTCTAATGTGGGTTTCACCCAAAACACGCCACTTTTCACCAATTCCATCGAGTTGTTGATTTAATTGCAACCTCCCTCGAAACAAAGAAATATTGTTCCGCAGTATTCCTTGACATAGCCCAAGCATTCGACTCGGTTTGGCACACTGGCCTACTGTTCAAATTGAAAAAAATCTTTCCCGCGCCATACTATCTCCTACTCAAGTCCTATATCGAAAACAGGTCCTTCGGTGTCAAAATACATTCTACTTTCTCTGGCTCTCACGACATACTTGTTGGCGTTCTGCAAGGGAGTGACACTGCCCCTTTTTGTACATAATATTTACAGCGGACATTCCTACCACCGAAAACATCCTGATGGGCACATACGCCGACGACACTGCCATTTTAGCCTCAGAACCCGATCCACTCATCTGCACTCGCCTTCTCTAAAATCGCCTCAAAATGCTATCAAAATGGTGCAACACATGGAAAATTAAAGTAAACGAACATAAATCAACTCATATCACCTTCACCCTCAGACCAAAGGACTGCCCCGAAGTTTTTTTTAACAACTCTATAATTCCTCACTCAAGGGAAGCTAAATACCTAGGCCTGTTACTCGATAGAAGACTCACCTGGGGTCCCCATCTCAAAACTAAAAGGAAACAACTATCATCTACACATTATCAGACCTCTCCTCTAATCCAACATGAAGACCTCAAAGTCCCATCCATCAACCAGACAACAGCCACTTACTTCCAAAGACTCCACTTCAAAATGTAAGGCCACTCAAACCAACTCATAGCTCAACTGCAGACAAAATTTCTTCCTGGTAACCCTGCTTGGCGCCTAAATCGAAATTGGTCCAGAGACCTTCTCAAAAATTATACATAAATTTATTACTCAAGTAAAGGTAGCTCAACTGTAAGCCTCCCTTCTCAATGACCCATCACTGTCATCCCTCCCTCAAATTTACTCATGGTACATTTAGTATAGATTGTAAATATTCAATAAACGTTAATAAAAAAAAAAAAAAAAACTTTAATCATTGGATTTATCCATTAATTTATTATCTATGGCCGTACGTAAAATAGTCACGTCATATCACAGATTGTTTCTATGGTCATATACGCCTTGAGCGGTGAATGTATTTTGATAATAAATAATTGTGATAAGACATAAGTAGAATACATTTCGTTTAAATATGAAATAATATTTAATTTTAATAAATAAATTATTGTACAATACCTGATAATAGTATTTTAGAACCATATTTCTTAAGATTTATAAGGAAGCAAATATGTTTTCGTTTATGAAATTACTCATTAAACCCACCACCTCAGGTTGAGTATATTTAAATTTTCCTGATTTTGATCAACTCAATATTTTATTTGTTTCAGATTTAACCAGTCGGTTTATATCTTCTCAAGTGAAAACCGCCATAGTTATGTTGAACATGGGTGGACCGCAACATGTTGATCAAGTTGGTGGTTATTTAAAACGCATAATGACTGATCGAGACATGATGCAACTACCAATTCAAAAGTAAACATTTTTTAAATTAATAAATTAATCTAATTTGATGAAAGTCAACATTCATAGACTTATGATGCATCTGTTTTTAGTACCTTGGGGCCATATATTGCTAGAAGAAGAACATCTGATGTACAGAAGAAATACGCTGAAATTGGAGGTGGATCACCAATACTTAAATGGACCAATCTTCAAGTAAAATATTGTTTACTGAAAAATTAAATCTTGGATGGTAACTTTTATGCAACGGTTTTAGGGAAAATTGATGTGTGAAAAATTAGATAAAATATCTCCTAGTACTGCACCACATAAACATTATGTAGCATTTAGATATGTTGATCCATTAACTGAAACTACTTTGGAACAAGTTGAGAAGTAAGTTAGTTGAAAATTTTGTTCAATATTTTTATGGCAATGCTTCAATGTAATTTTTAGAGACGGTGCTAAAAGAGTTGTACTGTTTTCTCAATATCCTCAGTATAGTTGTGCTACCAGTGGGTCAAGTTTTAATGCAATTTACTCACATTTTCTCATAAAGTAAGCAAAACTTCGATTTTGTACATCATATAATAAAGTATATTTGGTTTTACAGAAAATTTCCTGAAGATTTAAAAATGAGCATAATTGATCGATGGGCAACACATCCGTTATTGATTAAAACAATAGGTTCAAGAATATCTGATGAATTAAAAAAATTTTCCGAAAGTGAGAGAAACGATGTTGTTATACTGTTTTCAGCACATTCTTTACCATTGAAGGTAATATTATATTTTATTTATTTAATATAGGTTAAATATAGAAAGGATTTTTTTTTTTAGTACAGTGAAATGTTTTCATATTTTAAAATTATTAATTTCAGTGAGTAACCCTGTTTTATGTATTAATACATGTTCATACACCAGTGGTGCATAACTAAGGTGTCTAGACATACCTCTTGAGGAATCAGGTTGGAATTGGTATTCAATGTTAAATTTGTACTACCAAATAATAAATTTGAGAACTAAAAATTATTTTTTAGTTATTATTCAAACAGTACTCATTAAATAATATGAAATATTAGATATAGGTTATTTATATCAACTTTTGAAAATTAAATTATACCATACATTTTCCATGAGATTCTACTTTATTTTAGATGAAACTTTAACAATAAATACAAGAATTTACTGAAAGTTACTATTACAATATTATTGAGATTTTATTTAATTGACTGCACTGGATTTTCTATTCTTATGACTTATCTATAATTATTTTATTATTATAAAATTATACATCATCATTTGTCAGCAATTCAAACTTTTTATATACTATATTTTTTTTTAATATCAAGTTTTCTTTATTTCCAATAACAGTAAACACAATTTAGACTTTTATTATGTTCCATAGAATAATAAAAATAGAAAATATTAACCAATTTCCCAATGCTTAAAATATTCAAGTTTTATTACTAAAAATTAATATACGACTATAACTTCAGTCAATTTAATAATTAAAATTGAAGCCTGAATAAAAATGTACATAGTTTAGTTGTTATTGACTGTTATGTCTCAAAAAGTTCCATCATTTTATAGAGTATATCTATTATAATTTATTTATTATTGATTGTGTAACTGGACATTATGAGTTAATTAATTTAATAGTTTGAAATAATTTTGTTTTTACTTATAATCAGTAATTATATTAATTACTTTTGTTAGGCAGTCAACCGAGGTGATGCATATCCTTCAGAAGTGAGTTCAACGGTTCATGCAGTTATGGAAGAACTAGGTTATGCTTATCCTTATGCTCTTGTTTGGCAGTCTAAAGTAGGTCCATTACCTTGGTTGGGACCATTCACTGATGATGCATTAAAAGGTTTTAAATTTATATTTGTTTGCAGAAAATAAAATATTTTACATTAAATATATTTTTATTAAAATGCTTGTCGATTCTTACAGGCTATGTGAAACAAGGGAAAAAAAATTTTATATTAGTACCAGTTGCATTCGTTAACGAACATATCGAAACATTACATGAACTTGATATAGAATATTGTAAAGAACTCGGGGAAGAAGTAAGACAGTTAAATTCTAGAATACAGTATATAAACAGTTTTAATAAAACTAAAAATGAAAAAATAAAAAATAAATTTAAAATACATGATTAATTATTAGTTAATATTATTTTGTTATAACTTAACATGTTTCTTTTATAGCTTGGTATCAAAAAAATCCACAGGGCCGCTGCACCTAATGATCATTCCTTGTTTATTGATGCAATTGCCGATATAGTATCACAGCATCTTCGTGAAAACAAACCTGTTAGTCCAAAATTTCTTTTAAGATGTGCACATTGTGTAAGTTCGCGTTGTTATGAATCCAAACAGTGGTATTCAAATGTCTGCAGGTCAACATAATGTAGTTAGATTATGACACAAAACTATGTGTTGTCAATGCATTCAAAAGAACTTTTTATTAAGGGAAAATGGAAATTTATACCGGTTAATAGAAATGTAATCATACAAATTAGTATTCTTTTTTTCTAATATAATTTGTATTTTATAATAATAATTATATAAATTATACAAAATCACTTTTATACAAAGAAATTTTTTTAAAACTTATTCAAATAGGGACTATACAAATATTAGTGTTGGATGCTGTTTTTTTTAAATTTTTATTACATAACCATAAAAATCAATAATTCTACAAACATGTATAAATATGATTGAGAAAAAGGAAAGTATAGAAGTGTCATTGCACTTGTCTGGTATAATTTTTTGACAATTCATAAAGAAAAATCACAGACATTCAGTTTAAAATTAATTAAATATCTTAAGCATTTAAGCGCTTCTAAAAAAAAAAGAGAGAGAAAGAAAGATGTATATAAATATATAGTGTACATATTTAAAATGAAAAACATCACATAACCCATGTATAGGTGTGACAGAGAACATCTGAACATTGGCACAGTTATTTTGGGCGTTTCTGTAGTTTTCATTATATTATACATACATACATACATATATATATACTGTTATCATATAAATGAGTATGTATAAATAATCAAAATGAGAACAAGATGTGATATATTATTTTACCATCTTTCATCAATATTTTAAGATGAGTTCTGTATTATTTGTACACGAACATAATCTGGTTAGTTATGGATGACTAGCCCATTGGATCACTCAAAACCTAAATAAAATAATAGTAGTTAATATTATGATATTCAAATATTGATAAAATTGAATGTTATACCTGGTGGTAAAGGAGGAAGAGTGTCGTTAGCATGAGATGTAGCACCATGCATGCCAACACTATTTGATGGACCCGCTGCAGAGTTATTTGTATCATTATAGTTGAGGAAGTCCCAAATTAGTATTGTATCATCATGTGAAGAACTGACTATTTGAAACTCATCAAACTGGAGTCGAAATACTCGTCCAGAGTGCTCCTGCCGGATAAAAATTCCTCCTCTCTCAATCACGAAAAAACAACAAATCATAAAAGAGAACGTTGTGTGAAACTTACCATAAGTGTACGGAGACATAGAGTTGATGCTGGAGCTCTGGGATCTAAAGCTGCTACTAAATTCCATACTTTGATTTTCCTAGAAATATTATCAAGTTAAAAAATAAGTTAAACAAAATGGTATTTAAAAAAATTAAATTGTAAAAATATAATAAGGTGGTAAGATAAATTATTATGTGTCCAACAAATTTTACAAAAACTTAAAATTAATATTAATGATACAATAATATATTGTGCATTTAAAACTTACCCATCATATGCTCCACTAACAATTCTTTTACTATCAAACCTAATACACCGTACAAGTTCTTCGTGCCCTTCAAGTACTCTCAAACATGCACCATATTCTATGTCCCATAACCTAAAATAATAAATAAAATGTTATACCATGTAAATCGCACATGCAAAAGTATTTAACTAGTACCTAATGGTGTTATCAGAACTTCCACTAACAACTAATCGGTCTCTATATTGAAGACAGGCAATACCACGTTTGTGACCATTAAGAGTTCGTACAAACTCACAGCTTGATGTGTTCCATACTTTAATAGTACGATCTCCGGAAGCTGATACAATATACTTGTCATCAAAATCAACCACATTTACTGCAGCTCGGTGTCCAACTAAGACACGACGTAAAGTCATTTCACTAGGTGACACCATATCCCATACAGCAATTGATCGATCCTAAAACAATGAATACAATTTAAAACAGTAATTCAATTATATTTTAACTTATCAATATAAAACATACTTTTGAACAAGTGACCATCATATTGTTGCTAAACCTTAAATGTAATACTGCTTCACAATGGTGTATTAGAGTGTTGACCATTTCACCGTTAACAACATTCCATACTCGAACTGTACTATCACTGGAACCACTCACAATCACTTTGTCGTCATATTGTAAACATAAAACTGACCCGGTATGGCCAGTTAATACCTGCATAAAAACACGTATTTTATTAATTCCACTATTTTGATTAGTAAAATTCATAATAGATTACCTGAACACATTCTAATGTATTTCTATCCCATATTTTTATGGTATTATCACGTAAACCTGAGACAATTTTATTGTCATCATACTGTAAACAATATACACCTTTGGAGTTTTCTGAACGGCAATTTATCCTTTGTAATAGAAAATGGCCAGTTCGCCAATTTGATTCTATACTCTGAAATATAATAATGACAATAAATATTATAATATAAGTCAGGGATGGGCAACTAGAAGTTACTAAAGGGCCAATTTTTAGAAAATTTAAATCTAGCGGGCCAGAACATAGAAAAAAAAGATCATTCAAAATATGAATTTTAATTAGCATTTATATATATGAAAATAATAAATTCAACACACACGATAGCATAATCCGAATGGTACGAAGAAACTGATGTAGTTAAATAGTTTGGTAATAGCTATGGTTGAAAGTCATACTTATACATTCATATGACATTTAGACATTTAACGATGTTAAATACTAGATAACAATTATTATATTGATAAGTTAGAGCATAGAGGATAAACTTTAAAATATTACGGGCCAGATAAAAAAGGCTCACAGGCCGGATGAGGCCCGCGGGCCGCCAGTTGCTCACCCCTGATATAAGTTATAGCACAATTATTTGTACATAGAAAATAAAACTTAATATTTTAATATAGATCCTAAACAGATCTTGGGATTTATTGTAATTTATATGCATTATATTATTTTATCATTTTAAACACAGAAAATTGGCAAACATTACATTCTAAACATGATAATAATATTAAACACTTAGAATTACATTGATGAATTTTTAAAATATTTCATTGCTAATATAATTCAAAGATGTATAGTAACAATTTTATAAAAAAAAAATGTGAATATTTTATATAAAAAAAATATTTTTGACCAATTATTTAATAATTAAAAATTATAGTTATAATTAGTTTTGAAATATTCATTACAAAAAATAATAATGAAGTCAATAATAAAAGTACAAACAATGTAATATAAATATTACATTTTTAACACCCAAGCAAATTTACTTAAAGACTTTTCATTTAAACACAAATATTTAAGTTAAAAAGAATTTGTAAAATTTTTTAAGTAGTAATATAATTAAATAAGATTTAAAATTTAGGATTTTAGAAGTAAATTAAATTAAAAAAAAAAAATGACATACTTCTATATCTTGTATTATTTTAGGAAACAGAGCCCTATAGGAGAAATGGTCTGGGTGATGTTCGCCTGGCTTTGGCTTGAACAAGTATTGAATCCTAAAAAGTAAAGAAATTTGTAAAATTTATGATTCAAAATATTATAACATAAATAAAGTTATATTCAACTTACCACCCTCTTCGTTCAGCAAGACCTCGCCATAATGAATCGGTACGTACTTTACGTTCAATTAGCTTTTTCCATAACATACCTTCTGATATTACCCTATACCATTCTTTACACACCAATTCTGCAGCATATAAAGACTCAGCATCAAGATAGGATAAAATATTTTCGGCCACATGATCTAGGCCTTTTTCTAAAAAAAAAAAAAATAAATAAATAAATAAAAAAAGCAATTATTTACTAATAAAATAATAAAAAATTAAAAATTATATATATATAATATATAAATAAATAAACATAGATTAAACATATATAAATAAATAATTAAAAACTTAGTCTAGAGCAGCAGTTCCCTAACTGTGCACCATGGTGCTCTAGGGGCACCACGACTATTTTCTAAGGGTACCACGGTCGACGATTCATAACAAATAGTTTAAAATGAATAAAATTGTTTTAATAATTAAATGTTTTAATTAAACTTTATAGCAAATAATATAATATTTTCTATTATATATTTGGATATTCTCATTTTAACCTAATAATAATTTTTATTTATTTATTTTTTAAATTTAAAAATGCATTGACTTATAAATAAGTAATATTTTAATAAAATTGGTTATCAATAAGTATTTTTTTTTATTTGTTCTGTCTTAAATGTTATTCACAGCAGGGCACCGTGGCTAAATTAGGGCTAAAAAATGGCACCGTGGAAAAAAATGTTTGGGAACCGCTGGTCTAGAGTATTATTAATTTTGTAAAGTACGACCAGTTTCAAATTAAAAATTCATCGTCAGGTAGTTTTGTATTCTATATACAAAATCAATAAAATCACGACTCATGAACGTGATGAATTTTTTATTTGAAACCGGTCGTGTTATACAAATATAATAATACTCCAGGCTAAGCTTATATTTATTTAAATATTTATTATTTACTGTCCTCATGAATGATTGGTAAAATATAAACTATAATACTTACTGGGTAAGAGTGATATGAAATCTCTCTGTAACATGGGTTTTAAATATGTGTCGATGTGTCCATGTTGGTAGTGACACATCCGAGACAATAGGTGTTCGACAAAGTCGATTTGATGCTGTTCGCTCCATTTATCAAAGTACATAAGACACAACTCTTGTTCAGTGGCAAATTGTGGAGATGCAACACCATTGGTTGCAGAATCTTTTCGGATTGTTGGATCGTATAATATCGTCATTGGTGAATACTGAAAAAAATAAAACATCACATAATGAATAAATACTATTTTTTTTTCAATGAGTGAAAATGGTTAACTGGTTGAATATTAAAAAGAATGTTTATAATTCTTAAATTGTTAATAGTACAAAAACAATAATGTGTAATCTTTATTTAACAAGTTATTGATTTATTACATAACATTTTATAATTTTAAATGCAATAACTTTAAGTAAAAATGGTTATTGTACACTAAATTAATTGGTGAGATATTATACTTTAAGAATTTATTATATATTAATTTAAAATCTTAATATATATATTTATATATATATACCTATTTTTTGTTACAAGAACTTATTATTAAAATTGAATAACTATTTAAGTTTTTCTTGTAATTTTTGGTAATTCTTAATTGTATGCATACTGAAATATTTTCTGTGTGTATGTTATTATTTAAAATTGTAATAATTATTACATACTTGTTCTACTAACACCATTTTGTCATATGAAATGCCTCACTTTAAAACGAACTTAAATGAACATAAAATTAAAATATAATAACTCGCGATGATCGTTTACTGTACCGTAATAATTTTAAAATATATTCTGCGGAGTGTGGGGTATATAGTGTATAATTCGAAACGCTTTTACTTTAGAACCGACTAGAACTACAGCTCACTGTCATGGCGCGTTCGTATGGTTCGACCTTACACAATGTGAAATTTAGAATTTCACGCTTTTCCTATACAGCTGACAACGATAAGGTATAAATAAATCGCTTTTCGTTCAGACCTCTCCTAGTTTTTTCTTCTAAGAAAAATAAATATATATAATGTTGTTTTAGAAAGTGTATTAAATATAATTGATTACGCGTGAAGATGTTTTATCGAAAAATTATAGAAATGATTGACAGAAGTTTAATATTAATGAAAACGAAATTCGAAAAACACCACCAGCACGTACGTCATTTAAAAAGTGTCAGACATTTGAATAAATGTTTCATTATTATTTAGATCAGGTGTGTTTTCACTACAGATACGTAAATATGGGATAATCGACATCATGTAATAGACATAATTAGTTATTATGAGACCACGTTGTCCATAATAAAACAGAACACGATGTCAAAAAGAAATCACTGAAAACGAGTAATCGATAATAAGTCGGATGAAACTTCAATACATTAATAATGCAATGCAATAGGTTGATAAAAAGAGGCGGATAAAAAAAAAAACAAAATACAAGTCCGCATGCGCGACAATAGCACGACACAAAAAACCAAACTATAACTGCCAAGGTTTTTTGAAATGCCGCCGAGACAACACGTAGAAAGAGAGGGAAGTTTAAAATAAAATCGAAAACTGACGGGAAGCTATGATAAAAATAATAACGATAATACTCGTAAAGATTTAGACATTTAGACACACGCGAAATTATTAACCGAAAGCACACACGCGGACGTAACAACAATGTTATAATAATATAATGATAATAATAAAACGGCTTGGTTCGCGTACGACACACTAGTCTCTACTACCGACTATTACTACTAAAAGTACTGGATGATATCGTACGACTAGACACAGACCGCGAGGAACGGTAGACGACACGATACGCGCTGAGGAGCATCGGGCCCGGTTAGCCCCGCTTTGTGCGTTTGTGCGAGGCAAATAACCTGGCCGACCGGCACCGCCACAAAGTAGAGTCGGTGGTACGGACCCGTAGACACGCGGAGAGAAGAGCTGCACTTATGCTCCCTTCGACATGATAGTATAATGATTATACAGGACGATTGTTTTAACGTTAATAATACGAGTAATTATGTACGATGAATTATACAAATATGACGGGGGATCTTCACACTCTACTCCCCTGCTGCTCGGATTTCGAAAATAATATTATGAACTCGTGCAACCGAAATAAAATCTTTAGGTCTAATGTTTTTACATATAAGTGTGTGTTGGTCAACATTTTCGGACCATTTAATGGTATAAAATATATAAAAATATTATTAAGTTCCTGCCGTTTGTACTTCGCGAAAAAACGTCGTCCATCAATAATGAGGATATAAGTCGTAGACAACAATCTTTCTGATTCATGTCGAAAGATTCACCCTGTATACGTGCACATTAATGACGATGACGATCACAACGATAATAATAATAATATAAAATGTGGTATTGTTGTAGTTACCAGACCAGTTTCCCCGTGGCTTTGGTCTGGTGAATAACAGCGGTACGGATTCTCGATACACCGTATGCTCCCTTCTCTTACTATACTCGTGCTATCACTGCTCCAGCGGCGACATGATTCTTGCCTGTCGGGTTAATATTAAATGTATTTGTTTTTTTTTCCCCATTTATTTCAAACGTTCCTCTTTTAATTCTTCTTCGATACGATGACACTACCGCACATTACTTTTTTAAGCAAAAAATCAAACCGAGCTACACTGCGGTAGTGTACGTCATGCGTCTTGACTCCGTTTTGACCTTCTTGACTGACGATTGCACACAGTATACGACGCGTTTCCTATTTTGCTCCTACTACTACTACTATTATTACTCTTATTCTGCAGATCCGTCTTTTTTAATGATAATCAGTGACGTCACTTGGAGTAGATTATTGGTGAACATATATATATATATAATATTCATGAACATGTGTGTTACGATAACTTATTTCCGGTTGAGTCAATAACCGTTTAGTCGTTTCCGTGAGTCAATTATCTATATTATTATAGTTTTTTCATTCTATAAAAAACACTCGAATATACGGTTTCTGATTTTAGAAACAATTCGCGATTTCGTAAATCATAAACACTGTTTAATTATTAATCCTAATAATTCCACACACAGTTCTGCAATGATACTTTATTCCATAACTGTTCTTGTTTATTTCGATTATTATACGCGTTTAATTGCCTAAAATTGGTCATCAATAAGTCTACCCATATTATAAAATCAACTTTGAATATAATTGGGCAAATAGTTTTTTCTCCGGTATTCGATTTATCAAATATCAATCTAACTTAAAAGTTTTAGAATTGTAACAAAACGTATGATCTATAAATACATAACTTATATTTGATCTATATAATTAAGATTCAAATTTAATATTACACATACAATCGTAAAAACTGAATTTTATTACATTTATTGATATGTTGAATACATTACCTTATAGATAGCAAGTTATTATCATAACTGAAAACTTGTATTTTCCGACTAAAATTTAAAGATTTAAGAAAAATATTAGGTATATTATTTAAAAAATTAGTAAAATGAAACTTTTATGTAAATATGTAAAATAGGAAATATTTAAAAAGTATAAAAAAAGGCAGAAAATTTTTTTTTATAAAATTAGATTATGTTCTAAGAAAATATTTTTGTAAATAAAAATGTAGTTTGAAAGAAATTGTATTATTGAGGTGTAATGAATGATATTCTTTCTTTTAAAAAATTCAAGTAACTTATTATCATATTATATAAATTATTTACCGTGTAAACATCACAAATTATATTTATATTTTTTTTTAAAAAAATCATATGTTATATAACTAGCAAAGAGCTAGTCATAATTGACTTAGCAGAGTTATACTCGTTGTACTCGTTTATAATGTTAGCCATCTTAATTAAATTTGACAATATTAATCATTAATAAAAAATGACAAAAGATCTAAACAATAAAATACTTAAATTATAAACAAATAAAAATTAAATTGTTAAGGCAGTTTAAATTGTAAAATTAAAATAAGATTTTGGAGTTTTATTGATTTAATTTTTTAAATTCTTACATTTGTCGTAAGTAACGAAAATATTTTAATTTTAGGCAAGTAAATAAAATCTGTAAAAATAATATTATTTAAAACACAAAACAATATAACCAATGTTGAGTTACATTTTTCCAAAACTTTTTATTATTTGGGATTTATTATTGATTAAATGAGTTAAATGTTGTAGTAAAATTTATTATTTTTTATCTAAGTGACATGAATTAATTTACTATGCAGATTATAATGGAAGGTTTAGTCTATTTCTCTGACTAGTTACCAACATCGTGAGCCTGACGGCTATTTATAATTTATTCACAGTTTTTTAACAAGTTTTTTATTTTAACCATTCTACCATTCACAATTATAATTGGCAAGCTAAAACATGGTATATTTGATAAAAAAAAAGACCATCTAAATCAATACAAACATTGTTTGATTATTAGTCTATTTGTAATATCGTAATGTGTAAATATAAACCAATAATAATAATAATAATTCAATTTAGTTTACAAATTTCAATATCGCAAAACTTAGATAAATTGAAATTAATGATTTTGGAGTATAATCCTTTTAAAATATAAATTATATAAAATTAATCGATCGCAGTAGTAATGATATGTATCCCTCAGTCGTAATGACAGAATTAAATTTTCTAGTTACTAATTATTGTGTAACCGAAATACTTTCTCTAAACATAATTAAAATGTTTTATCAATATAAAAATAGGTGTCATTGTGAAATTAATCAAGGTGTACAAAATATAGAAGATTTAGAAATAAATATTAAATAACTTAAAATAATAAGATTTTATTTTTTCTAGTCGTTATAATCGAAATTATTTAATATAATTTTTAGACATTTTTTAGAACTAGGTTATAATAAACATATGAATTTATATTATTTTTTAAAAAAAAATTTTTGTTATAAATATAACATTATTATGTAATTAAATAAAATATTTTAATAATCTTCATTTCACACGGTCAAATAATACAATAGCAGTAGTTTTGGAAAGTTTAAAACAATAACAGTTCAGTTATAAGGATTCAAAGCAAGAAAAAATGTATTTTCAAATAATATCTTTTATAGTGTTACTCTTAATATTAGGTATACTTATTATTATCATTAACAGCGGTGTTAACTGAAAATTATAAACTGCTATTACATTTAATTTCGTAAAATGCATTAAAAAATACATAGAATCAAGATAAATATTATAAATATAAATTTAAAATTAGTTTTTGATAGTCCGGAAAAATAGGTACATGATAAAACCTAATGAAAATATATGGAAACTGTAAAACACTTGATTTTATAAACACTCAATTTTAATAGCTAGATGCCGAAAGAATAATTGTACACTAAAAACTCTTGTAAAAGCTTCAATAGCTTAAATACAAGTAATTTAAATAATTTTTTTTTAATAGTTATTAATATTATAAAAATCAATTATATTTTTATTTTATCACGTATGTTTAATAAAAAAACAGATGTTTTTTAATATATTTTAGGGATTCTAAGATTTTTACAATTTAATATATGGGATTTACACTGGTTTATAGATATTTATTTTGTAAATTGGCAATTAATTTATTATGTAAAAAGCAATTATGTCCTAATATAATACAATTCAACAAACATTACATATAAAATCGATTTTAAAAGTTATTATATTTATTAACAATCCATAAGTAATAAGAATTATTAAGGGGAAAACCTCGTAAGTAACTTTTAATATACAAAAATAAAATATTTCAATTAGTTTAAATTTATTTTGTCATGAGAATAAATCTATAGCAAAATGAAGATTCTATTCATCTGAATTGTCTTAGTTTGGATAATTAGAAGTCAATGTACTCTAGCGGTCGTTAGAATAAACTAGCATAGATAAATTATATAGACAAAAGGATTTTCCTCTTAAAACGGAATAGAAATAATTTTACTATAGCCAATGGATAAAATAATAATAAAAGATTAAATTAGTATTTATTTTTATTAATCGTATGTTAATAATTTTGAAAGTTAGGTATACTTAATGCCAATATTAATACAATATAATTAAAATATTAACTATAAATTATCAAATCAGGTATTAGAGAAACTAATTCTATGTATAATGGATAGCTTTTAATACTCGTCCTTACTTCATTTAAATTTGAGTTGAATAAAATGTAGAAGTAAATTAATATTTTGAACTTATACAATTTAATTATTTATTCATAACAAAAAATGTAAAACGTTTTGGAGGTTATTTAAATATTTTTTAATTTTAAATTTTTCATTAATTCCTTCAACATTAAAAACTTATAAATATAAAAATTTTATTAAATTTGAAATGAAAAACTAATAATAAGAAAAAGTTGATCTCATTAGACTTAATATAGTCTAATATAAGACATTTTTAAAATTCTTTGACATCACCGAATTTATCAGCACTTAATAAATATAATATACCTTAGTTTTATCTTAGTGACTAGTTGCAGGTGATAAACAAACAAATTAATAGTCTTATAATACATATACATAAAAATATTTTATTAAATAAAACTACAAAACAAGTTTTTAAATTAGGCATAGAATATACTGTTTTGTTAGGTATAAAATAATATAGTTCAATAATCACAAGTAATATATATTTTTTTTCTAGAATAAACTGGAATATTAATTTAAAGTGTTGTTCTTATTAATACTTTTGAGATGACTAACGTTATTAATTATTTAGTAGGTTATATAACATTTTAAATTATTTGTAATTATATTTTCA